GATCACACAAATCGAGCAAATCTAAACTACAAACTTGTACAACAAATCAAAGCGGGAGCACCTTCTAAACTCCTTCACACTCATGGCGGGTTATTTGTTCACGATGCGTTTTCCTTCGTACCCTCCATGTCCTTCTTCTTGTCGTCGAGAACAGCGCCCCGCAGGGTTCCTCCACTGTGGACGACCGTACCGTGAGTTATTTGATTTCGATGCGTTTTCCTTCGCACCGTCCTTGTCGTCGGATTCAAGCAGCTCCCTCGGAGGTCACACAATCCCAGGTACAAACTGCGGACAACGGCACAGCTCCCTCGTTGGTCACTCGTCCACTCGTGCACGGTGCAAACTGCCTCCCAACGACGTAGACGTACAAATGGTTATTTGATTTCGATGCGTTTTCCTTCGCACCGTCCTTGTCGTCGGACTAAAACAGCTCCCTTGGAGGTCACACAATCCCAGGTACAAACTGCGGACAACGGCGCAGCTCCCTCGTTGGTCACTCGTCCACTCGTGCACGGTGCATACTGCCTCCCAACGACGTAGACGTACAAATGGTTGTTTGATTTCGATGCGTTTTCCTTTGCACCGTCCTTGTCGTCGGACTAAAGCAGCTTCCTCGGAGGTCACACAATCCCAGGTACAAACTGCGGACAACGGCGCAGCTCCGTCGTTGGTCACTCGTCCACGCATGCACGGTGCAAACTGCCTCCCAACGACGTAGACGTACTAATGGTTATTTGTTCTCGATGCGTTTTCCTTCGCACCGGAGTTCCTGCAAGTTCCTCGTCTTCCTGACAATCCTGGCGTGGTCGCCAATTTCGTGCACCAGCACATCTTCTCCAGGCGTCAGGGGCCCAGCCTCCCCGCCCATCCGACTCGCCACACACAACAGCGCAACTGAACTAAAAGTTCTACATAATATCTTGACAACACGAAGACGGACAGACGAGAAGAATGGACACGACAAGGCAAAACTGATAACTAAAGAAAAGGACAAACGTTGCGGCAGTATATAATGAGCATGCGCACGAAATAATGTTGCACGCGCGACGATGACGTAAGCGTTGCATGGTGTATACATGTACAGAAGACTGCACATGCAACCAAAACAATGCAACAAAGTCAACACTAAACCACTACATAATAAAACTAAAGAACAACATAAATAAGCCATGAAAAGTCTTTCACTCTAGACCCGTTGCGCAACAAAGGCTTTGTACGAGGATGTCGTGACAACCTTTGAAGATATCAGCAGAGGTGCACGACCTGAGTGGAATACAGAATCTCAAAGTGCTGCCTCATCACTCCTCAGGTCGATCACTAGCTTTGAGTTCATCATGGCATTCATAGTCACTGGTCGCATCATGGCACCCTTGCATTCATTGGCAATCGCACTGCAGTCCTCATCTCTGGACATCATGGGCCTTGCGGACTTCCTCAATTGTTGGTGGCATAGCGAGTTCTGCATCGGTATTCCGTTGGGGGATGCTGGTAAGCGCATCATTGTCAACATCATTGATGACGTTTAGCACAGTCTGAAAATGCTCACCCCAGCGTTCATGGGTCTCCGCGATAGGGACACACTCGTCACCATTGGCTTTCTTGATTCGAGTTGAGAGAGTTGGTATCAGTCCTTTAGTGGCATGATGTATGTTGCAAATGCACTCCCACGCACCCCGTTCGCCATGACACCAGCGCATAGCAGCTTCAGCATTGAGTTCAAGGAATCTACGCTTGGCTTGTCGAACTACTGCACGAGATTCACTACGTGCGCGCTGGTACGCTGTCCGGTCAGAGTTGCGCTTTAATGACTGTCACTTCTTATACAATATATCACGTTTGCGAAGAAGATGCTCGATGTCTCCCTTCGCCAGTTCAAACCAGTCTTTCTTTGCACGGCGCGCGGCTCCAAGGCAATAGTCCGCAATGTCTAATGTACAGGACTTTAGTTGCGTCCACTTCTCCTCAATATTACCGGTGGCCCACCACGATTTCTCCAGCCTGTCCTCCAAAGCATCGCTTAGCTGCTGTCCGGCTTGGTCAGTGGTTTCACGGGCACCATCAGCACAGGGGCGCAGAGATCTTACATCAAGGAGCACGCGCTTTGGAGCAGTTCTTGGAAACCGGACAACGCGTTTTAGACGAACTTCATGGACACCAACGAATGGTCCGTATCACACTCTGCACTGGTGATGACACCGCAGTCGAAGCAGAAGGCGCGGTGGTGAGCAGGCACTATGCAATAATCAATGCAGTGGCGTGCCTTTGTGCCGGGATGCTACCAGGTGTACTTAGCGCAGCGGCCTTTCTGGAACCAGGTGTTGCAAGCCAAACATTCACTTCTAGCAAGAAATGACAGCAGCTCCTCTCCAGAGAAATTGAGCTGGCCGACCCCATGAGGACCACGAACATTCCACCACAGGTCTTGCGAGGCTCCATTGCCGATACGAGAATTGAAGTCACCGACTAGTACAAACTGATGCGAGTCTGGCGCGTGAGAAATAAATTCCTGCAACTGATCATAAAACTTATTCTTCTCAGCACGGGGTCTTGAGAACGTAGGTGCATACGCAGATGCAACATGCAGCCACTGAACACGCTTGCGACAAACAAACGCCAAACGAGCTGCGATGAGTCTGGATCCAAGCGCTGTCCACTGGCAGCCACCAGCCTCGAACGCACGACGACACAATCCACGGAGCACCAGAGCAACACCTTCGCCGCGAGTGTGACTTTCGTACATACATACATTCATTCATAACTACATAATTATATACAAAAAGAATAGAATGGGATGCGGAGCTTGGGTTGGCTGTGACTCAGAGTTTCACGCGTGGCGATCATCAGACAGCAATGATTCTAAAAACTCAATGAATGTTCTTGATATAGTGTGGTAAGGTGCTGGTGGAATCAGAGACTTTAAGCGCAAATAAGGTCAAGCGGTTATTCTATGCATGTACTTGCAAGATCAGCGCCAGACATCAGGTGTTATCCTGGTTTATGTAACTGGAGGTGTGAAGTTAGGTGTGAAGTTAGATAGGTAGAATTTCACAGCCACAGTCACAGCCAACCCAAGCTCCATATCCCATTCTATTCTTTTTGTATGAAGCTCTGCACCCCGGTGCATTGAGCACTCTTTCGAGGACCTCACCCAACTTTCCGTGTGTAATTGTATACATACAGCTGTGGCAAGTGAAATCCGACACTTGGCATAAGGGACTGCACCATGCAGTCTGCAGCCCCTGCAGCACTGCATACGTACAGTACATGTGTTACATACAACTTTATCTGTCTGATGACAAAACTCGTACTCATCACACTCAAGGTTCAAAAGGCGCTGGCAAAAATGAATAGGGATTGGATACCAATACTCCTTATGTGAACCATGTTTGTGAACTGTGTGTATCTATGCTGTGACCTTTCAATCTGGTTGGGATGCATACAGCTCTATAGTACAAATTAGGTGCAGTCCATTACATCACTGGTGTCCATTTGTGGCGCTGTCCCCTATGGCAAGTGTCGGATTTCACATGCCACAACTGTACATACATACATACATACATCTTGATCTTAATCCTGCTGCCAAGTCTGCCTACGCAGCACCCCGAATGGACAGGTCAAATGGTTATAGTCACCCTGCTGCATCGGTGGCGTGTCCGGCCGCTAGTCGAGCGGAAGGTCCGGTGACAGGCGGATCACTCCAGGGGTGGTGCCGCTGTAGTTTG